TAGCACTGTCATAGCAACGTGATATAAGATATAATGAATACAAACCATATGAAGTTATTCCACCAACTGAATCTTTGCCACCATTCGAAGAAGAGATGACAGGAATGCCACCATGAAGAAGGCCAGCAAGATCTTTATACCCTTCATGTATTAGAGCATTGTAGAATGATATGTAGGAATAATTATCTTTTTTAAGTATCATTTTAATTAGGAGAGCTGCTCGTTGCTGCTGAGTGGGCTAAAAAAAATAAGTAGTTTAGTATACTACAAAGAGTATGTTTGCAACATAAATTAGTGGAGACCAGTGCAAGTTCTGAAATAAATTTAAGAAAACTTTTTAAAGTCATCAAATAATTATATCAAACATTTTAAATAAAAATTGGAAAGAAAAAAAAAACTTTATAGCAAAGACTGCTTCAGAGGGCTTTACCTCATTTTTTACTTTTTCCTCCTCTGATACTGTTAAAACTCCATCATTAATCATACAATCCATGATGTAGGACGTTTTAATGTCCTTTTCCAGGGCTTCTCTATGTTGAAGCAAACAGTTTCGAGCTTTTGCATCCATCCTCTCTCAAATTTTTCTCTAAGCTGTCAACCATCAGCTATGGACAAAACATCAAAATTTTTGTCAGATCAATGAAGATATGAAAAGATGTGCAACATTACTGGTAATCAAGAAATAAAAGATTTTTTTGGCAAAGATTTTTAAAACTGGACAAAACCCAACGCTTTCAAAGGTGTGAAAAAATGAGTTTTCATATGCACCACTTGAGGAGAGTACAAAATGGATATAACTTTTCTGGAAGGCGATAAGATATAAAAGCATTTAAGGTAAGTATTGTCTCTAACCCAAAAATCTCACTTCCAGAAATTTACCTTAAGGAGACATTTACATACGTATGCAAAGATATATAAAAAAAAAAAAAAAAAAAAAAAAAAAAAAAAAAAAAAAAAAAACACAAACACAAAACACAAAAAAGAGTTAACAGAGCTGTGAGTTCAAGCCACAAATTGGGTGTGGAGCCTACTTAAAAAAAAAAGTTAAGAGAGAATGTTTGGGTAAGAAAAAAACACGAAAACAAAACAAAATTAAAAACAAAAAAGATGAGGGGCACCTGGGTGACTCAGCTGGTTAGACGTCTAAATCCTTGATTTCCACTCAGTTTGTGAGATCGAGCTGTGTCAGGTTCTGTGCTGACAGCAAGAAGCCTACTTGGGATTCTCCGTCTCCCTTTCTCTCTACCACTCCCCAACTCGTACTCTCCCTTTCTCTCAAAATAAATAAACATTTTAATAGACACACCAAAAAAATGAAAACAACCTAAATGCCTACCAAGTATGGATTTAAAAAATTAGAGTATGTATGTAAAGTGGTATATTATACAACCATTTAAAACAAAACATCTCTATGGAGTATCTGGGTGGCTGAGTTGGTTAAGAATCGGACTCTTGATTTCAGCTCAGGTCATGATCTCACAGCTGGTGAGTTCAAGCCCAGCCACCGGCTCCACACTGACAACACAGATGCTGCTTGGGATTCTCTGTCTCCCTCTCTCTCTGCCCCTCCCCTGCTCTTTGTCTCAAAATAAATAAACATTTAAAAACAAAAAACAAGACACATCTTCACGCACTGACATGTAAAGATGTTCACCACAAACTGATTAAAAAAATGAGAAACATGATCCCCAAAACAGCACAAAATATGTGTTGGTATCATATAAACATATTGGGAGATGTTGGGAAGTCTACTCAACGAAAAACATTTTGGGTTACTTCCAAGTAGCAAGATTTGGTGCGTTTCCCCTTTTTCTTTTTTGTACTTTTCTATATAGTCTTAATTTTTTCAATACACATTATCATTTTTACAATTTAAAAAACTTCTTAAAAGGTGCCTGGGTGGCTCAGGTCATGGTCTTGCAGTTCGTGGGTTTGAGACCCACGTCAGGCTCTGTGCTGAAAGTTCAGAGCCTGAAATCTGCTTCAGATTCTGTCTCCCTCTCTGCCCTTCCCCTGCTTGCACTGTCTCAAAAATAAAAATAAAACATTTAAAAAAAGAGTTAAAAAAACTTATGATTTTTATGAACAGTGATCATACTAAAATCCTAGTGTTTAGAAACTTGTATTAAACATTAAGACTAACCACAGCATTGTTGGTATTGAGCATTAGTTCCCACTCAAGGTGAGTGTCAGCTCTAGATCTTCATCTAAAACATATTTCTCACATGCTTACTCCACTGATGTTTTGGCTGTGCTAAGTATGACAAAACAACAGAAAATATTCTTTGGTGTCATTCCTTGGATTAAGAGGACACAAAAAAAGAATATTCTTTACAGTATAATATTCTAAGTTCCTACCAACTTTATTTCAGATACAACACAAATTTTTCCATGGGTATAAAATCCAGATCAGAATGTTCGCAAGTTTTTTTTTTTTTATTTTTTTTCAACATTTATTTATTTTTGGGACAGAGCATGAATGGGGAGGGGGCAGAGAGAGGAGAGGAGTGAGACACAGAATCCTTGAAAACAGGCCTGAGGCTCTGGAGCCATCAGCCCAGAGCCTGATGCGCGGGGCTCGTGAATCCTCAAGTGTTTCTCTGGAACTATCAAGCAGATCGACCTGGCTGAAGTCGGACACTTAACCAACTGCGCCACCCAGGCGCCCCATCGCAAGTTTTTAAAACATTAACAGAACTCTATCCAATGTAATACAGTGAGTGTCTAAATATGTTAATTTATTGATTCAGTAAACATTTGAGCCCCTATGTGCCAAGCCCTGAAGTCTACAGAGATTAAATCATATCCCTGAAGGAATTCACAATCTAGTGGGAGAGAAAAATTTAAAGAGATAATTAAAAGACTCACAGAAGTTTTATTTTTTATGTTTTTATTGTTTATTTATTTCTGAGATAGAGCACGAGTGGGGAGGGGCAGAGAGAGAGGGAGACAGAATCCGAAGCAGGCTCCAGGCTCTGAGCTGTCAGCACAGAGCCTGACACGGGGCTCCAACTCATGGAATGCGAGATCATGACCTGAGCCCAAGTCGGTCACTCAACCGACTGAGCCACCCAGGCGCCCCTTAAAGAGATAATTAGAATGTGATGTCCTAAGTGCAAAAATACAGGTAAGTACAAATCATTTGGGGTGCACAGAGAGGAGGGATAATCATTAAGTGTCAACAATGACTATATACTTTTAAAGTCACAACTGTGGCACTTGCAACATAGGGAAATAGAGCATGTGCCTATACTTGGCAAGGTTCACCTTGACATCACATGTCCAGCATGCTAATGTCCAGTATTAGCATGAAACTGAATAATACAAAGTTATGATTGGAATAAAGCTATGATATTTTTTAAACATTAATAACATTTTATGATCTCAATTTAAACATAAACGTCCCCTCTGGGGCCTGGGTGGCTTAATCGGTTAAGCCTCCGACTCTTGGTTTTACCTCAGGTCATGATCTCTCGATTTGTTAGTTCGAGCCCTCATCCAACTCCACACAGACAATACAGAACCTGCCTGGGATTCTCTCTCTCCCTCCCCTCCCCTGTGTTCTCTCTCTCTCTCTCAAAATAAATAAACTTTAAAAATTTTTTGAACATAAAACGTCCCTTAATTTTTAGTTATTTAGGTTATTTCGAATTGCTAAGCAAATTGGCAACCTGAAACTAATTTCCAACTTTACCCATCCCCATTATGTAAATTTTAAACACGTTTTTAAACTCTGCACAAATCATAATATTCTGAAAAAATTCAGTGTCCCACTTTTGTAACCGCATCAAAATGTAAAAACAAACTCTTCAAAGATGTTAAGTAGAAAGAAAGTAAAGGGCAATTTCATCCAGGAAACCTGTAATAGTTGGCTACTTCCTCTCTCAGTAATCTCTCTTCCTGGTACAGGAGCAGGATGGTTACTAATTATTCCTTGTCCCAGAATTCTGCGTCCCTGAAATCGGCTACTGAACCTCCAAAGAACCCAGCTCGGGCAGAAAAGCGAGGCACAAACTTACCCAAACCTGTGTACCATGGTCTTACTGGAAAGAGCAGCCCTGCGGGGACAGACTGGGAAGTCAAGGTGGGGGTGGCGGTCTGCGGAGAGAAGCAATGGGGGCTTCCTAAAAGGAATGTAGGGCGCGGCGCGCAGCCCCGGGGCAAGTCCGGGCCTCACAGGTGCCTACCAGAGCCTCCGTAGCCCGGGGCGCCTGAATGAATTTCTACCCGCCCCCCCCCCCCGCCCCATCCCCGGGGACCTCTGATTGGCGGAAAGGTAGATGTCACCCCCGCAGGCCGACCACACAGGCCCGGGGCGCCGAGGTGAACCCGGGTCCGAGGGCCGCCCTCTGGGTGGACCCCACCCCAGACACAAAGGGAGGAGGGCCACTAGGGCAGTCGCTCTTTCCCTTCAGCGGAGCCTGGCGTCCCTCCGGACGCCGCCGCGGCTTCAAGTCCTCGAGGGTCGCTGATGGCAGAGACTCCTCACCTTCTGCTTCCTCTCCCCCTCAGGCCAGAAATACAGCATCAGCGTCCACTTGATAACTCCTCCTCTTCGCCTCAGAACCGCGGAGCAGTCAAAGCCCGCTCCGCCCGCCCAGCCCGGACAGCGCGCGCCCGCGCACGCAAATAAATAACACTCCGAGCGCCGAGGACAGTACGCCTCCGCGCGCGCTCCAGCTGCGGCTAGTGGCCGCGCGCGCCTAAGGATGCGTCCTCCGCCCCACCCCATGGCGGGGGCGTGGCTAAGCCACGGGGGCGCGCGCTGCCCCTTCCCGCCCCCTCCCTTCGGGGCGCGCCGCGCGCGCCCGGAATCCACGATTTCTTCAGGTTTGTGGCATGAATGCTGAGGAAAGGGGAAATAAGGTCACCAGGTGCCTTAGCTGGAGGAACTAGGGGGCGGGAGGCTGGAGGAGTCTGTGAAGCCGGAGAACGGCCGGGAAAGGAGGGGACAGGTTTCTGGGCGGCGCTAAGTCCAGGAGGGGGCGCGGTCACCGCTGAGGCGTCCCGCTCACCCAGGGTGAAGCTACCTTCTCTGGGTTTGTCGTCCTCCGGACCTCCAGACATGTTCGAGGTGAAGAGCCGGAAGAAGTCGGGACCCAAGGGAGCCCCCTCGGAGCCGGGGAAGCGGAGCGACGGTGGGAAGAACCCCGAGGCCCGGGGCGGTGGAGGCGGGGGCTGGGCGGACCCCCGGACCGGCGTGAGCCTGCTGTCGCTGGGGACGTGCCTGGGCCTGGCCTGGTAAGTGGACGCGAGGCCGCCTGGGCCCTGGGTCCGGCCTCCGACGGTCGCCCCGCTCTTCCTGGGCGCCGCGCGGTTCAGCATCCCGCTGACCTCCAAACCTCAGACCTGCGGCTTCGGTTCCTCTGCCTCAAAAAAAGGACAGCCCAACTTTTTTTTTTTTTCTTTTTTTCCTTTTCGCTCGTTTCTTCCAACTCATTTTTACTTTGTATTAGTAATGTGCCCTGATCACTCAACTGGAGTTGAAACTAAGGCCTGGGAACCAGTCGGCCATTTCTTTTTTTTTTTTTAATTTTTTTTCTTTTTCAACGTTTTTATTTATTTTTGGGACAGAGAGAGACAGAGCATGAATGGGGGAAGGGCAGAGAGAGAGGGAGACACAGAATCGGAAACAGGCTCCAGGCTCTGAGCCATCAGCCCAGAGCCCGACGCGGGGCTCGAACTCACGGACCGTGAGATCGTGACCTGGCTGAAGTCAGACGCTTAACCGACTGCGCCACCCAGGCGCCCCCAGTCGGCCATTTCTTAAGAGATGCAGATTTGGCCAAACTTTATTAAGCGCCTGCTACGCGTCGAAAGCTTTTCCGTTCGTGTAACCCACCATTTCCTGTCCGCTGTACATTTATTTGTCTTGGACGCCGTTGCCCCACCTTCACCCCATAACTGCCTAATGGCAGGGTTTGCAACCGTTAAAGAAGTTATTATGATCTCAGGGCAACAAGCGGTTAATGATAACCTCAGAGTTTGGAGGATTTCTCAGGTGTTGATCATCGTTCATGCGTTATGAATTTAAGGTGTATTCCTAAATTCCAGATTGAATTTTACTACTGTGAAATGACAGAAGTGTAGTTCTGGTGTTCACCGAAAACTGAACATCTGTAGTTTTTAAACCAAGCAAATAGCCATACATTGTTATAAGAAAAATGAATATTAGAAATAACCTTAAAACCAACTTATTAATTGTATTTTCCCCATTTTCTTGAGGAATAACCTGTTTCATCTTAATAACAGGACTGATACTTTAAATTAAAATTTCCTCCACTTTTAATTGATTTTTAAAGTATTTAGAAGATAGTTATTCATCTTCAAGAGTAAAAGAATTCTAGAAGGGACCCTGGATGTCCTTTAGACCATTTTTGATGGTACTAAATTTTGAATTATACTCTACTGGTGACTGAGTTGAAGTTAAAAGATTTGTTACAATAAACTGAATGTTATTGAATGTGCTCTTTAAAAAAAAAGACATTCATCTTAGCAATATATTTTGTTTATGCAATATTTTTATTTTAAAGACTAAATTTACTCTTGTAAATAAACTGCTCTTATGTCTTAAAATACATGACTCTCCCGCGCCTGGGTGGCTCAGTCAGTTGGGCTTCTGACCACCACTCAGGTCGTGATCCCCCAGACGGTGGGTTCCAGCCCCAGGGTTGGACTCTGCTGGCAGCTCAGAGCCTACTTTGGATTCTGTGTCCCCTTTCTCTGTGCTCCTCTTCTCTCTCTCTCTCTCTCTCAAAAATAAAAACATTAAAAAAAATTTTTTTTTTTTATTTAAATTTTTTTTTTTTTTTTTCAACGTTTATTTATTTTTGGGACAGAGAGAGACAGAGCATGAACGGGGGAGGGGCAGAGAGAGAGGGAGACACAGAATGTGAAACAGGCTCCAGGCTCTGAGCCATCAGCCCAGAGCCCGATGCGGGGCTCGAACTCACGGACCGCGAGATCGCGACCTGGCTGAAGTCGGACGCTTAACCGACTGCGCCACCCAGGCGCCCCAAAAAAAATTTTTAATATAAATAAAATGCATGAATTTCTTTAGGTAAATAAGAATCCTTTTTTACTGAGAGAGCTATTCAGTAATAGGCTAAAAGATACAGATCTTTCTTGACTTAGGATGGGATTACTTCCCAGTGAGCTCATGATAAATTGAAAATATCATAAGATGAAAATGCATTTAATGCATCTCACCTACCAAGTATTATAGTTTAGCCTAGCCTGCCTTAAATGTGTTCAGAATGCTTAACATCAGCAGACACTTGAGCAAAATCATCTAACAAGCCTTTTTTATAAGAATTGAATATCTTCTATAACTTAATACTGAAAGTGAAAAAACACAATGGTTGTACTTGAATCAGTTGTATACTCTCTTAGTCACATGGCAGACAGGGAGCTAAGGCTGCCACTGCCTAGCATCAGGAGAGAGGATCCTACCAAGTCGAGGATCAGGATCACATTGCTAGCCCAGGAAAAGGTCAAAATTCAAAGTACAGTTTGTATTGAATGACCAAAAAGTCAAAAAAATTTAAGTCAAACCATTTTAAGTTGGGGATCATCTGTACATGTTGCTTCCTTCTCTCAAACCTTATACAATTGGTTTTAGTTACTGAATTTATTCTCATTAATTATCCAAAGACCCATATTCATATAAGACAAATTACATCATAAAATGTTCAACTTTTCAGTAATTTGGTTACTATTCTGGGAAAACACACTAACAAATCTATAAAGGAAAACTTGAAAGGTAGACACTTTAGTGCAGGAACTTACTGTCAGTGCTCACAATAAAGACACAAGTTACATTCAGAATTTTCACTAACCTCATTTTTCATCTTTTTTCCGTTGTTTCTTGTTAGTGAAGTTTTATCTGAAAGGGTTATGCTTTAAATGCCTTGATTTTCAAAAATGGAATATGGTTACTATTTTCCTGAGCATTCAGTATTGTGCCTGAAAATGAAGCTGTAGTATGAAACAGAAGGCTAAGTGGATACTGACCTTGGTGGCCCTGGAACTCCCTTTCTTGCATAAGGTCCATTATAACAGCTTCCTTTGCTTATTTGCCTCTTTTTCATTACTAAGTTGAAACAAAGCCAGAGAAACCCTGTAAGTCCTCAGTCAGCTATCTGCCACCATCTAAGATTACTAAAGGAGCTACATAGAATCAACACCCTAAGGAAATGAACACTGTTTTGTGCTACTGGGCCCTGAATCTGAGGTGTCTGTAGACAACAATAGATAGATGAAGGAGTTGAAGAACCCTTTTGTAAGGCCAACACTAAAGTAGCCAATTAACCTGGGTCCCTTTCTTCTGTATCTTTTCCTATATGATAATGAGAAGAGGCCAAAAAACAGTAAGGGTGTTCTTCTCTTCCTGTAAGGGGTCTAATCCATCCATTCCATTTTTCATTTACTATAAACCCAACCCTGGTTTCAACAGTGAACAGATGTGGAACTTCCATCAACTGTAAGCAGTGGAGAAGGCTGATCCTTTATACTACTATAGGCTTGTCATAGGGATGAAAAGCAGCTCCACAAAGCAGTCTGAAAGAAAGGGCCAGCATATAAGAGAATAGCTGAGAGAATGCAGTAGTGTCCTAACTGCATAAATTTATAGAGATTAAATTCTCTACAACAATCTTATGAAGTCACTTTACAGATGAGACTATAACAAAGATAAATAACTTGCCCAAGATGATTATACAGCTAGTAAATAGCAGAGCCAAAGTTGCTCAGCTCCATACCTTTTTTTTTTTTTTTTTTTCTGAGAGAGAGAGCATGTGTGATCAGGGGAGGGGCAGAGGAGAGGAAGAATCCCAAGCAGCTCTGCCAAGCCTGACATGGGGCTCGAACTCATGAACTGTGAGATCGTGACCTGACCCAAAATCAAAAGCCAGACACTCAACCAACTGAGCTACTGAACCAGCTAGGTGCCCCTCAGCTCCATACTTTTAACCAGTATGATATGCTTCCTCCCTTTGATACTAATCCTTAAGAGGCCAAGATCCTAGAAATAAAAATCCCTAGTCCAGAACTATTTATAGTCCTTTTCTAACTAGAAGCTATAGCCCTTAGTAGACCCTGTCTGTCTCATCTAAACTGAGGAAGATTGGGAATAAGGGGGGCCTTGAACTTCTGTTAGAATACGCCTCTGACAAAGCCCTTTGGACACTACTCTGGATGCCAATTTCAAAAATTTAGTTTTTCAGGATTGAAGCTACTTTCTGTCAGCATTGACTTCTAGAAAATCATCCTTCTCCTTAATGTTAAAATGAGTTAATATTTGTAAATCATTTTAAATTTTTTAATGTTTTTGTTTTTTGTTTTTTTTTGAGAGACAGACAGAGTACAAGTTAGGGAGGGGCAGATAGAGAGGGAGACAGAATCTGAAGCAGGCTTCAGGCTCTGAGCTGTCAACACAGAGCTCGATGCAGGGCTCAAACTCATGAACTGTGATATCATGGCCTAAGCCAGTCAGATGCTGAACCAACTGGGCCATCCAGGCACCCCTATGAATCATTTTAGAATAGTGCCTGGCACATCTAAGTGAAAAATAAAATAAATGTATTTTAACTCAGCACCATTCAAACCACTTTTCATTTTTTCATTACTAGCACAAAATCAGCTTTAAAAAAATTTTTTTTTATGTTTTTATTAATTTTTGAAAGAGAGAGAGAAACAGCATGAGTGGGGGAGGAAGAGAGAGAGAGGGAGACACAGAATTCGAGGCAAGCTCCAGGCTCTAAGCTGTCAGCACAGAGCCCGATGCAGGGCTCAAACTCACGAACTGTGAGATCATGACCTGAGCTGAAGTCAGACGCTTAACCGACTGAGCCACCCAGGCGCCCCATCCTTATGCTTGTTTTTACTTACATGCATTATTATTCATATGTAGCAATGGTCTTTTTTTTTTTTAATCCGTTGAAAAGCTAGCCATGAAAAAAAAACCTACAAATTATCATCAGAGATATTTGCACTAACATGACATAGTTTTCTCCAAGGTTTTGCTTAATATTTTAATGTTAAAGAGAAGTCCAGAAATAGCCAGCATTAAAAGTTTTAATAAAATGAAAAGTGCTATAATGTGTTATAGTAGTGGATCAACCTTCACAAAAGTCTCTTATAATGATTTTATTCTGAATCAACACATGGATCTACAGGATAAATCCCTGTAGTAACACTGGAGTAAAGGATGATAAAACTAATCTCTGAAATTAGACTTATTTCATTAGTGTATTCTCCATCCTTGGTCTCTGCCTGATCTCAGTAAGCCTATACTCTGAAAAGAATCTCTTAAAATCCAAGAATGAAACAGCCAATATAAAAAAGAAGTCTATACATTCATCTTTGAAAATTAGGATAATGGCATTTTCTAATAACCAGAAATTTATTTAAGTCATACTGGGGGGGGTGGGGCGCCTGGGTGGCTCAGTCAGTTAAGCGTCCGACTTCGGCTCAGGTCATGATCTTATAGTCTGTGGGTTCGAGCCCCACATCGGGCTCTGTGCTGACAGCTCAGAGCCTGGAGCCTGCTTCCAATTCTGTGTCTCCCTCTCTCTCTGCCCCTCCCCTGCTCATGCTCTGTTTCTCTCTGTTGCAAAAATAAATAAAAACATTATAAAAAAAAAATTTTTTTAAATGATAAGTCATACTAGGGGGGTGCCTGGGTGGCTTAGTTGGTTAAGCGTCCAACTTCAGCTCAGGTCATCTCATAGTTTGTGAATTGGAGCCTCACAAACAGAAAGCAGGCTTTCTGCTCTCCCAGTCCATTTTGGATCTTCTGTCCCCTTCTCTCTGCCCCTCCCCCCCCATAAACATTTAAATAAATAAATATCATATTAGGGACACTTGGATGGCTCAGTCGGTTGAGCAACCTGCTCTTGATTTCGGCTTAGGTCAGGATCTTACAGTTTCACGGGTTCCAGCCCCATGTTAGGCTCTGCACTGACAGCATGGAGCCTGCTTGGGAGTCTGCCTCTCCTCTGCCCCTCCCCTGCTCGTGCTCTCTCTGGCTCTCTCAAAATAAATAAAAACTTTAAAAAAATAAAAATAAAAATCATTAGCACATAGGAGGAAAGTCAATCTATACTAATTATGTAACCTGGGCTTACTCAATTCACTGTTATCTCATAGGACAGAGATTAGCCATCATCAAAAGAAACTTATTTCATTCAGTATTGTAAACATTTGTTCAAAAAGCAAAAAGTTCATTTTAGTTTTGGACAGTTTTATAGCAAGTTAGCCTAATAATGACATTTATGAGTCTGAAACATCACCTTAGCAATGGTATGCAAACCTCAGAAGTCTTTCATCTTTCTTTTGAGTTTTGGGATCTTTAAATGTTTGTCTTTCAATGGAAGTCAATTTCATAAAACACTATCAATTAGTAGTTCTCAGCTTGACTGAATACTCAGATAATCTGGGGAGCTTTGAAGATTTCTGATATCCAAGTCACATCCTACACCACATAAGTCAGAATTTCTGTGGGTGGGATCCAGGCATGAGACTTTTTAAAAGCAGACAAGTGACTCCAATATGTAGCAAAGCTTTTGAACCACTGGTCTATGTACTATGATTTAAGTACTTTCTTCATATGGTTCTGCTCCACTGCTTTTTGATGACTCAATAAATAACACAAAGAATTTTAACCGCTGCTTTTTCTGAGCCCAAAGAATTGAGTCAAAGTAGATGAACCACAATGGTATTAGATCCAAAGCATTTCTTTTGTGTTTGCTTATTTCAAGTCCTATACAAACTCTATTTATTGTTTTTAAGATTTGGATAACTTTTTTATGCTTCTACTCTTTGCTACTTTTATCAGATGAAGAATACAATCCAATTTTAAAATGGCATCTATCTAAAGTACACTTATATAGAAAATAAAGTACACCTATATGACTCGTAGTGTTGAGTATAATTAATTGTAGAGCTTATACTCCCGGCATTGCGTTATATCACCACTTTGACAATGACTTCTGTTTTCATAGTTTTAACTATTGTTATTTTGCGACTTCTAATCATCATCTCTCTGTCCTATTCCAATTTTATTTTCTTTTCTACATTTTAGTTTAAAAATACCTTTTTGGGGGTTTGTCTGGGTGGCTCAGTCGGTTAAGCGTCCAACTTCAGCTCAGGTCACGATCTCACAGTTCCTAAACTCAAGCCCCACGTCGGGCTCTGTGCTGATAGCTGAGAGCCTGGAGCCTGCTTCAGATTCTGTGTCTGTCTCTCTCTCTGCCCCTCCTCTGTTCACTCTCTTTCTCTCTCAAAAATAAACATTAAAAAAATTTTTAATACTTTTTTTATATAGGTAACTCTTCTACATTTCAGTATGAAAACACTTATTTTCTAGATATTACCCATATATAGCCTTGAGAAAAATAGTAGGGATCCCATATCTTGTTCTAGATAATTCATCGTTTCTTCCTCCAAAATATTTCTTGTGCATACAACTATCACACCATCTCACTCCTGAACTTAGACTTGAACAGGAATAGTTTTCACTTTCTATTAATTTGTTGAAATAAACTACTAAAGGCTGTCACCACTCATACCAGAATTTATGTTGTCCTTACCAGAAGTATAAAATGTTCCTTCAAAATTCAAACTTGGGGGCCTGGGTGGCTCAGTCAGTTAAGCATATGACTCTTGATATCAGCTCAGGTCATGATCTCAGGGTTCATGGGATCAAGCCCCAAGTCAGGCTCTGACTTGTACGTGCTGACTTGTGCTGACAGTATGGAGCCTACTTGGGATTCTCTCTAACCCTCTCTCTCTCTGCCCCTCCCTCAGTTGTGCACACACTCACAATAAATAAATAAACTTTTTTTAAAAAATTCTAACTTAAATGGATATAAATTAGGAGGTAGTGAATTTTTTTTTTCTTTTCCAGGTTTGTATTTCAGCAGTCGGAAAAGTTTGCAAAGGTGGAAAGCCAATACCAGTTACTGAAAATAGAAACCAACAAGTTCCAAGGACTTCAAAGTAAAATCAGTTTAATTTCAGAAAAGGTAATTATTAATTGGCTTATTTGGGAAGATTTTCCCATTTTTCTTCCCTACTACCACACTTCTACCCCAGTTCATAATTTCCTTTTTCCTGCCTTTTAGACCATTACTGTCTTAACTCTCACTGGTTTTCCTACATCATTACATTCTCCCCTTCAATCCAATTTAGACTCAGGTTATTTTGAAAGGAAAGGATTTTTTTTAATGTAATATATGTTACTGTTTAAAAAGACCAATATTCTCATATTGATATGACTCCAAATTTCTATTTAAGTGTCTAGGGCACTGAAAATATAATTGTTCTTTAGGTAGGTACAAAATTAGAATAGGAATGGACTTTTTGGGCAAAGATCCATCAGTTGCTTTTTTTTTTCTTCACTTTCCAGCTCGTAAATTTACATACATCTGCATATAATAATGACTAATATAAAAATAAATATTGATTCTGTAGCCAAATGAAAATTAAAATCCATGTGTATGTTGTGTTTCTTAAACCTGCAAATGCAGATGCATTATTGCTGGAATTCTTAGATATGTGAGACAGATAAAAAAATTTTAACTGCCATGCTTCTCAGGAGAAGTCAGCTGCAACCAATAAAGCATCATGGAGGTCTTGTCTGGCTAACAGAAATCAAGCTATCACTGGGAAACGTGCCTTCTTTGTTCATTTATTCATTCACTAAACCTTTACTCATGTCATAAGGTAGACAAGGACTTGTGCTTGGCACCAAGGTGAACAAGAATTTACAAAATAGACAAGAAATGGAGGGTCTGAGTTCCTGCAGCCAGGTGCACAGAATTAGTGTATAATCCCCCAGAAGAGAAAAGCCATGGATGAAAATTATACACCTCTCACATATGTCAGGGGATTCCGTAGAGGGTAAGCTTAGGGGCCTTGGAAAGAAACTGCATAGGACTGCAAGAATGGGTATTTTGACATAGGGCTCAAATTGGAATCTGGTTGTACTTGTTGGGGCTATAAAATTATAAAATATGTAATGGGGCTCGAAACCACGAACTGTGATATCATGACTTGAGCCAAAACCAATTAGATGCTCAACCAATTGAGCCACCCAGGCACCCCTGAAAATTTTATTTTTAAGTAATGTCTGCACCCAATGTGGGACTCGAACTTACAACCCCGGGATCGAGAGTTGCATGCTCTATATATGTATATACATATGTATACACACACACACACACACACACATATTTATAGAAAACAATTAGAAAAATTATGGGGAAAAAAATCCCAGGAGATAGGAACTCCATGTACTTAAAAGCTATTGAAAATAAATTTTGAAGAAAGACTTCCTTTTTAAGTGAAAAATTTGGTGGCAATTAAAATGCTTTTTGAGGCAAATTTTTAAAATATCATCATGGGATCCAAGAAATATTCAGTCTTCGCAAAACTCTTTCTCTCCCAGTCTTCCCTAGGAGTAGTTCAACAATAGCTGCCTTTTCGCAAAGCTGGTCCTAAAGGCCAGCATAATCAGTAGGAGGGGAAAACAACTAGATGTGGGCTCTCATCACAACTGTGTGACCTTGGAAAAATCACTTTAACTTCTCTTGGTCTCTATTTCATCTATTCTCATTAAATGAGAATAGCAGGATTTTTATGAGGATCAGATGTGATATAATGTATATGCAAACTTTTGTAAACTTTAGTAATAAATTTAAGGTATTAAGCCCTTTTTCAAAAAATATGAAAAAACTATTAGGATACATTGACAGCCCCTAAATGCAAATTATTGTAGCATGCTAAACACCATGTATTTTTAAATTTTTTTTTTTTTTTTT